GTAACGAAATAATTTGGATATATCAACAAAGTTGAAATGGTAAATTGGCCACCGTAACGATTACAAAAGCTGACATTTCAAGCCTTAGCCCTTCGTCTTTCGCTCCAACAAAGGGCTAACACTCGAAATGTCAGCTTTTGTAATCGTTACGATGGCCAATTTACTATTTCAACTTTGTTGATATATTCAAATTATTTCGTTACCCCCACCAACGCAGCCCCAAACAGTTTCTTTAGAAACTATCAGCCTTTATTCATGAATAGGACTCCACTCAGTCTTATTACCACTTTTACCATTATTAACAAGATATTTATGGTATCTTTGGATTCAAATAGAGGGGTAGGATTTCAATTCAAAAAATAATTCTTTTTCAATTAAGTGAGCCATACAGTGAAATAGAGCCTGCTAAATAGACCAATTAGAGCATTGCACAAAACAATTGAGAGATATAATAAATAAGCACTTATTCACTTGAATCGACTAAATCTGCAACAAATATCACAAGAGATTTCTAGCAATTTGTCTCTTATGTTTCATGATTCAACATTTTCAGAGCCTTCTATTCTTAAAACCTATAAACATAAAATGGTAATATTTTCCTTCAAAATTTTAAATTTGAACAAATAGTTACAATCACTGCTCTAAACAGGGAACCCAATGTTTTTCTTCTTACCCAACGAAGGAAAAAAAACGTTGAAAGATAATTCTGGATAATAATTATTAATGAAACTCTAGCACGAAACCATGTCTACGAAATCATAAAAATTCATTTGCACGACGAGTAAGTACGTGAGAAATATTACCCCCATTACCGTATGTGCAGCTGAAGAAGTTATAAACTACACTTTTGCGTATCTAGCTCAAATTATCACAAACATCAGCTACTTCAGCGTTCTACCAGGTCAGTACGTACATGTTTGTCATAGGAGAAACCATATTTTTCGGCTAACTCCTTGGCTTCTCGCTGACCACCACGAACTTTCACGGCCCAGAAATTAGTAAAAATCTCCCTGGCACAAATGTCACGAAAATAGAGAAAAATTAGCAGCAAGATAGAACACAAGGACCAAGCCATTAAGACACTTTCGCCATGATTTTGCTCCTGTCTTCGCTCCTGTTCACAAGATCGGACTGAGGGACCTGGCCTAAACCTCGTCCGAGTGTTTAATGGGTCCTGGCGACGATAAGCTTTCACATCACAGAAGTCGCAGAACTTTAAAATAACTTTCACCGAAAAGAGTTATTAAAAGTTTAATGAAACTGATTGATAACAAAAAAAGAAAAAGAAATAAATAAGAAGAAATTGAAGACGCGTTATCTCCAACCTCATCAAAATATTGGCTCTGCATAAGACTTCGGGAAGTAAATGACTGTATGGAAATCATGTGAACTGCAGGTTAAGAAATAAATATCAAAGTGATCTTCGCAGTAATTAATAAACACTACTTGAGTAGTAGTGAAAATAAGGCCTGAAACAAATTCAGGCCTGTACGGGACTTGAACCCAGGACCTCTGCGATATCGGTACAGTGTTCTACCAACTGAGGAAACAAGCCAACTCAGATACACCCATGAGGTGATAAATAAATGACTGTAGTCAGATGAAAATAATATATGTGAACTTTCTTAACCCGCTTTTTACAAGTTAGCAAAATATTTCGAAAAAACGTTTGTATTACTGCTTGGCTTACGCCTTGAAAGACCCTCAAAAAAAGTCTTAGCTTACAATTTAGCAAACTGGCCACTGGAACTATGAGATATTCCTGGGTCCAAAATCCATAAGTCTAACGAGATAGACAAAGCTGTTAAAAAAAGTACAAGAAGCACTTAGCCTCTAAATTCCCCGAAGTAATAGGACGATCAGTTCGAAGCTTCGACTTCTTTCCCTGGGCGTTTAAACTTTTGAAGATGGGTTTGTTTGAATTCCCGCTTCCCCGAGGCTGAAATTGTGGTCAGATGCCCATCCAATTTTTGGCGCCGAAGGGCAACATCAG